TATATGTATAGAACCTGTTATATATATCTGATCTTGATGTATATATCTGAATATTTTATACATATATACATATATATGTATTGATTCTTGCATCAATACCTGTTGTCAAGTATTTTGCAACTTTTTGCACTTTTTGTCGCCTGATTAAAAAACACCTAAAATGCCCAGCAATATTTCAAAGAGACTCTTATCTTGGACAAAAGAATTAAATTCTCACTGAAGGAAATTTGATTAAGGTAACAGCAATGGCTGGCTACAGGTGTAAAGTTCGCTCAAGCATGTAATATATAGAGTTCCATCTTGTCGCAACATCAATTTATAAGCAAAATCTGTCTTTTATATCCATTTTAATTTCTTGCTATCTGTAAAGTTCAGTGTAGAAAAAAGTACTGACAAAAAACTGACACACTTTCAGTTTATAATTTTTTAGTTTTCTGATTGAACCAACTTTTCCTTGAGAGCAGTTTTTATTTTTTTTATAAGTTGAATACAGTAAACTTCTGTAGTATTTTTCACTAGCATATTCTTAATTTAGAACAACAAGAGCATGGTACCTCAAAAACACAGCATCATTGGCAATAGACCACGGTTGGAGGTCAAAAACTATTAATTTAAATATTAATCTAGGAAATTTTTGGTCTTATATAGATTTAGAATCAATTAAAGAAGCTTAAATCCGTTTGGAATTTTTGATTTTAACATGTCAGTTCTTTGTTTTTTTGATCGTATATTGAAGATTGGAAATATCTTTCTCTTGTTTAAATTTAGTTCAGTTTTTTGATTGACTTTTGGATTTTCTGGACTTTCTGGGGTATGTTTGATGTCAGGATGGCAATTCCTCAATGCGACTTTCAATTATGATATGTAAGCTTCAACTAAGATATGTGATGTTTGCTACACAAAAATTCCCTTTGGAAAATCATTAACGATTTGCTCCTTGGATAAATATTAACGATTTCAACACTACAATCCCCTTAGACATGTTTATTATCCTTTCCTTTTGACAGAGTTTCTTTGTGTTTTCGTTCAGATAAACTCTCGCGTGAACACAATTAAAATTGCTTGCTAATAAAAGTTAGTTAAAAAAGAAACAACAGATAATTTAACACTTTATAGGTTAATTAATTGTAATATTTAATATATATCTATATTAAAGTTATACTTATAACAAAATATATCTTTCAAAAATAATAACGACAAAAAAACAAACAAACTACAAGATATGAATATTTGATGAAATTAAACAAGATAATTATTTATCTACTAAACAAAGTTAAATCAAACAAAGTTAAAATAAGTTTAAAAGAAATTTCTATTAATTCTCAAGCTTATCATTTAAACTAAAAATCTTTTTTTATATTAATTTTATAAAAAATGATAATAACGTTTTGTGATATATATATATATATATATATATATATATATATATATATATATATATATATATATATATATATATATATATATATATATATATATATATATATATATATATATATATATATGAATATATATATATATATATTCATATATACCAGTTCATTTGTATTCATATATATATATATATATGAATACAAATGAACTGGTTTAGAACCCAGAGGTCCGATGTTCAACGCCAGCTCTAGTCCAACAAGCGACATTAGTACGGAAGGAGGCGTGAACTTCCTGTTAAATGCTCTCCCGCGGTGCTCTATGATAAGACCGTAAGGACTTCTGGAGGAAACCTAAATACATACAAAAAAAAAATGGCGGACAAATGGGATTTTTCAAATAAGTGATTCAGTTTTAAATTTCTATTTATCAAATACGTCTCAACTCGCCTAAATAAATGCTAAATTAATAAAATTCTCCGTTGATTGTTACTATCAAATTTTATGATTCAAAAAAACTATAAAAGTAAACAAACGTTTACGAATACCAGTTAGTTAAACTGGTATTCATAAACGTTTAATTATTTTTAGACAGTTACTGTGTATCAATAAATTAAAAAAAAAAAAAAAGCCAAACACACACTATAAAATAACTTTACATACTGTTTTTTTGTTTTTTTTTATATTTATTTTTTCTTAATTTAATTATAGTTATCGTTACAGTTATCATATGCATATATATTTTTACAATTTTACTGGGGCAATTAGAAAACAACATTTTTTGTCATAATTGTAAAATAAAATAAGATAAAATAAAGACTTACAACTTTTAATATTATAGAAAAGTGTAATACAAAAAATTTTGAAATAAAAAAAATGTATAAAATAAACTGAAACTTATACAGCTTTTACAATACGTAATAATTTTTTTTTTCAATTAAAAAAGATTGAGTATTTAAGAAGATTAAAAACATTTAAACAAGAAAGTTTAAATTTATCTATTTTTTTAAAACAGAATTAAATCAAACAATAACAATAAGAAAAGTATATTATAAAATAGTTTTTAAAATGCACAAAAAAATCTTTTTAAAAAAACGAAAGTGTATATGTATTATTTAAATTTAATACGTATTTTTTTATAGTTCTTTTAATTTTATCCATAGATTTTTCATATTTTCGTCAAGAATCGAGTCCCACATTCGTGATTCTGGGTTTATAATAGATTAGTTTGCAAACGTTGAGAACATTAGAATAGATTTGTCACACACACACACACACACCCCACACCCCTATCGCACCGGCCTTGATGGTAGTAATATACTCAATTATATAAATACTTTTGTTGTCTCGATACTTTTGTTGTCTCGATACTTTTGTTGTCTCGATCTCGATACTTTTGTTGTCTCGATACTTTTGTTGTCTCGATATGCCCCACAAATGTCATTTTACTGAAATTGATACTATTTAAAAAGTATAATTACAAAAAAATTTTTCAAAACAGATTCTAAAAGAGGATGAAAAATACTGTCTGAAAAATATAAACCTATATGAAAAATATAAACTTATAAATAAAGCAAATTCGCAAGAGTTCAAGATAAATCTTTTGTCGCTGTATCGCTTAAGAAAATACGTAAATTTTGTTTTTCGCAATCTTACTGATGCATTTTGGTACTTTTAATGCATTTTGGTATTTCTTAATTTAAATTTTTTTACAATAATGAAGCACAATAATTAAAAAAATTTTATCAAAAAAAAATTAAAAAAAAATATATTTTTAGCTGAGTTATAAGAATTCAGGCAAAACTGTCCCGTTATGGCCTGCTGTCCCGATATGCCCCGCTCTACCCTAATTTTCATTAGTATCGGCTTGGCAATTTTGTACCTAATTGCGAACAAAACTAATCAACTTACTTTATTTTGTTCAGCATATGTGTTTTTAAGGGACGTTAAATGATTACTTGCCTAAGTAATATTACAATAGTTAAACTTTTAACTGACTTTTTAAACATAATTTATTAAAAAGATTAATCAGCATAGAATCCACTTCATCATATTCTATTTAACTTGAATATTGAATATTGGCAAACCAAAAAATATTTCTTTTTGTCAATATTTAATAAAAGTTCATTTCTTTAAGCCCCTCCTTAAGATTTACTTGTTCTGCGTTTACATAATAAAAAGTATAATTTTAAATTTGAGCCTGAAAAGAAAACATTAGTGTTATCTGGAAAAATACTATAAATAAATATTTTTGAAGACAAAGAAATATAATGCACATAAATTAAGAACTACAATGGTCTAAGCATTGATCCCTGTGACTTTTTGATTCAAATCGTATGCATGTACTCCTTGTTTGCAATTTTTCCAACTATGTAGAAAAGTAAAGAAAGCTGTGTGAAGGGTAGAGAGAGCTGTGTTAAGGATAAAATTGGCATCATCGTCTTTTATAATGCACAATCTGCAATTGGAATTATGTTTTAAAGAAATAATGGCGCGAATGTTTTATTTTATTTTAAAGTACAAAACTTTAATTAAGCTTTTGTCGTCTTTTAATGTTATATTGTATAACATTAAAATTATTTTGTATTTCTGTATCAACAATAAATAATATTGTTAATTGTTTAAAAATCGGTTAAGTAAAACGGATATAAAATAACAGAAAAGAAAAAAAAAATTAATTCAAATTAAAATACAATCTTCATAAAATTGTGAGAGTTCAGTGACAAGCCCGACGCAAAGGGGTTATTAAATCTTTTTTAAATGTTTCAAAAACGGGATCTGTCGGAAAAATTTCAACAGACCCCGTTTTTGAAACATTCGAAAGTGAATTACTTTTTAAAAGTCATTTAGAATCCTCTTTTGAATTCCTTTAAAGTAAAAGTTTTTGTTTTTATTGAAATGAACTTTCAACATCCTATTTTTGTAGTCTTCTATTAACTCCACATTTTGTAGTTAGTTATTGTTGTAGAAACAAAAAAAAAAAAATTAGAATCTAAAATCTAGTGTTAGAAAATTTTAATGAAAAATTATAAGACCAGCCTAAAAACAGTCTGTTCAATCATAAAAAACAAAACTATAACAAACATATAAATAAATAATTTTAACGGCTTATATTTTTTTGTATCCAAGCTTCTAAATAAAGGTGGCGCCTAATCTTTTATTTTAACCGCGTTGAAATAAAAGATTGCATGTCGAAATATTTATTTTCATGAGAAAAATGGACGCAAATGTCATTTTCAATTTTTTATTTAAAAACGGAAACTTAAGTAGGAAGGAACAAAAAAAACTTTTTTCAACAATTTTTTCTTTTCTTCTTGAAGCCTTTCTTGTTAAATTCTCTCTTTTTTTTGTGTGAAGTTTTTCTATGATTTGGAAGTAGATTATAAACATAGAACTAAATAATTGAAATAAAATTCTTTCTGTTCCTCTTTAATATTATAATTTTATAAGAAAGCAATGAGCAAGTGTTTATGTTCCTGTTGTTTTTTTTATATATTTTTTACAAAATGTTCTTTTATTGAATTAAAGTTGTAAAAAAATTTAATTAGTTTTATAATTCTTATAAATAATAAAATAATATGGAGGTTTCAATTATTTTTACAGTTCGGTGTCTGGTGACTAATTTTATCTAAAGGAAACTTTTTAGACGGATACCGGGTTTGTGTTTGACGCAATAGTTCGTCTTGCTGTTGGTAATATTATTATTATTGTATTAGAATTGCAAGTAACTTAGCAGTTTTATATTTATAATTTCTATATTTTTGCGTATTATGAACTTGACATTTTAAACGATGAATCGTTCAGAATCTAAAGTAAATGATATAAGTAAACAGAATGGCAATGATTATTTAAACGTGATGATATTGCGTCTTCAAGAAAGTGCTAAGTTAGAACCAATTAAAGTTGCATGTACTGTAACACCTTTAGGTAAGCCTTGGTATTTTGGTGAAGAGTTCCACGGAAAGCTGTCAAAGGAAGAAGAAAAAAAAATTTTAGAAGGCAAAGTTGGGCGTTATCTTGTACGAGAGTGTCTTTCTAATTCTCGTTCACACGAGTATACTTTGGCGTTCAACTTTAATAAAAATATACACCATATGAAATTAATTTTCAATCCTACTACAAATAAATTTAAGGTCGAAACTGGCAACAAGGAATTTTCTAATGTGTTGGATCTTGTAACTGACATCTTGGAATTACTTAGTAACTTGAATAAGAGTTCTATATCTGATAAAAAAGAACCATACTGTAAACCACATTCTTTTAAAATGGTTTCATACAAATATCCCAGATGGTGTGATAATTGTCATCAATTCTTATGGGGATTTTTCCACCAAGGTTTAAAGTGTGAAGATTGTGACATGAATGTCCATAAAACATGTCAAGACAATGCTTCATTGCCATGCTCTAAAGTTGTTGTTTCGAATCGTAAAATTTCGATATCACCCAATTATGACAAGAGTTCTGAAAAGAATCCCAGAAATGAAACTATCGATATAAAAAGACCTTATGTTAATGACTGTAAATACTTTGGCCAATGCTCAAGGTTTTTGTCAGCATTCAATATACGTGATACTTTTGTATCTTTAGAGAACAAGTTAACAAGATGTTTTTGTGTTAATTGTATTGAAAAGGCAAATTTAGGCTCCAAAGGAAATGAAAAATACAAACAATTTTTAAACTGGACTAAGTTTCAACTTAAACAGCAAAAAGAGGGCTTAAAAAGTTGGGAAGTTGGATATTTCCCAATTAAACCACAATGTATTTCTGATATGTTATCAAGTTGTTATAATAACCAAGTTACAGATAATGAATTTGATCTTATTGTTGCACCGTCACTTGCAAATACTGTAAAAGACATGGAAAAAGAGAATTGGTCTTACCAGTTTCGAAACACTACATCAGACACTTTTTTATATGCTCAAACTGTGATGGAGGTTCTTCTTGCTCCTAATTCATTTCAAGCTGTGTTTTTATCGACCACATTTGATAATGAAAGTGAACAGCATTGGAGGATACAAGATAAAAAATCAGTTTTTCCTGTATCTGTTTTGGTTAAAATATTTGATAAAGAGTGTTTGTCTTAAACATGTATGAAGTAATCCTACAGTTAATGGCCTAAACTAAATTTACTTTTGTGCTCTTGTTTGTGGAGATTTTAAAAACACCTTAAAATATTTATCTTAATTATTATTATATAAAATTTTTCTTTTTGTAAATAATTATTATTATTAATATAATAAATGTGTAAATTATTATTATAAATACTTATTATTATTTATTATTACTTTACTATCGAAATGCATTTCTATGCTCTCCACTAATTCTTAATAGTAAATAAATAAAGTTTTTTTAGGCCACTCACCTGTAGCATTACTTATGAAGCTTGTATACAAAGTACATGTAATTTATTGTAAATGGACTTTGATTTAATTGATTTAAGTGTTTCTTACTTGTTATATATGTAGTAATAGTTTTCATATTTATATACAAATGCAATGTAATATGTGTGTTATGTACAATACATACAATGTAATATGTGTGTTATGTACTATACACATAAATGCAATGTAATATGTGTAATATGTGTGTTTCTTACTTGTTATATATGTAGTAATAGTTTTCATATTTATATACAAATGCAATGTGTGTTAAAGAGTGTGCGGAAACTGTCAAAATGATTTGTCACAAAAAAATCAAACATAGTTTATGTTATAAATTTCATGACACTTTTTAGTTTAAATTAAAAGCCTTAGTTAAAATGAGTTTAGAAATAAGTTATTGAATCTCTATTTTAATTAGAAATAAGTTATTGAATCTCGATTATTGAAATTGAAGTATTTGACTAAGTTTGACTAAGTAATTAGTCAAATGTTTAAACTTTTTCACCGCCTAACCAAGAGTAAACAGGTTTTCATTTAAATGTAATTTCTCCAAATATAACATTTTATACTGATGGCTTTTTTACTTGTTACTAATATTAACATTTTTTGTGAAGTATTTTTTTAAGAAAGGAAGGGTAGAGGGAAATTAATCTTTATTTATTAATTTTATAAATGTTCAAATGATCTCAAAAATG